TTGGCATTTATGAGACCTTGGGTCAACAGATAATTCTACTAAGAGGAAAAGAAAAATAATAGTATTATATAAATAGAGTGTAGAGCTGTGAAGCTGCAAAATTTCTCATATCTCATTAGTGAAAGAAGAAGGGTTGCTATAAGGCTCAGTTTTATGGAAACACCTTTGTTACAACCAAAAACAAAACTCCCTCTTCAATGACTTAACAAGCTCGCAGCAAGTCTTTGGTATTGGGACACATGATTAACACAGAGCTAGCCAGCTGTCTCCTGGTTTCAAGGCTGAGGACTTCCCCCAATAGAGTCTTAACACACACACACACACACACACACAAAATAGTAAGGGCCCCAACTCATATACAGTGGGTGGCTGAATTCAGTAACACACATCAAACTCACATCCCACATGCAAAACTAATTGGAATGGACAACATGAACTTCACACAGGCCTATGTTTGTGAACCACTTCAGTAATAAGGGAGCAGATACCTTTAAGATTATCATAGGCTAAAGTTCATGTAGGCTGGTTTTTAAGCCTCTGGCAAGATTCCACTGTGGTATGCATTCAATTTCCAAGGCAAACCAGATCATGAGTTTGGGAAGCAATCGATGTTTACCCAGTCTTCACAAGGTTCACACATGTAATAACCTAAAGGGACACTTATCAAATCCCATCAAAAAGGCTTCTGAGTCCAAAGCAAGGAATCCCTGTCCCTCAATCACCTGGGGATCTTGTTAAAATGGAGATTCTGATTCAGGGAGCTCTGGTGGCGTAGTGACTAAGGCACTTGACTGCTAACCAGAAGGCTGGGGGTTCAAACCCACCAGCCACTCCTTGGAAGGAAGATGGGGCAATCTCCTTCCGTAGTGATACTGCCTCAGAAACCCAAGGAGGGGCCGCTATGAGTCGGGCTGACTCAACGGCACATAACAACAACAACAACAACAGGGTGGAAATGCAAATTGTCAGTGGGGGTTCGAACAGAATGAACCGGTTCAAAGCCCTGCCCTCAATACACGTGCGTGTACACACAGACACACGCAAGCACACACAAACACAGCCCGAAGCCAGGAAAACCTAAGAGACAGTAGGAGAGAACGATCTTCTCTACAAAGGTGCAAGACATTGAGGGGTTTAAACTTACCCACAGGAATTTTACGTTGAGGCTACTCCCTTCAAAAACAGGTAGCAGCAATAAACGTTTTACTGCTAACCTGCTGAAAGTAAACAACACTGTTTACACTGGCACATATAAAAGGCTCAGGGTGACTGTGCACTCCATCCCTTCCTACCCGCCAGGAGACCTGCTTATACTTGAAGACTAGAGTATACAGCTTTTTGTTTTGGCAATAACTAATTGGAAGAAAAAATAAAAGGCGTGAGAGAGTCTCCTTTCATCTTAGAGAGAAGATCTTTCCAGGAAGACTTTGTCAAACGGTAAAAGGCTGGCCTTGTTAAAGGATGACAGCAGGGTAAATACTCAGATATTGTTTCTGCTGGCGGAAGCCAACTTCCCCTCAATGCAAACAAGGCCGACACGCCACGTTCAGCCACACAGCCTTGAACGCACAGCTTATTTTGTCGGTAGGACTGCAAAGGTCATTTGTCACTCTCATTAAAAGTCCTGCCTGAGACCCGAGCAGTCTCAGACACACTTGGGAACTAAGCCCCAAGGGAGGCAAGCGGGGATTCAGTGCCGTGACCAGTTTCTGCTGATGAGATTCGAGGGGGCAAGAGGCCAGAGAGTCTTGGTATAACTCCTTCAATGTTTTAAACGTGAGTAGTCTACTTTCAGCACCAAGCACGGTTTGTTTTCAAAATCAGTGCAAGAAAGGCCCTCTGCTTGGTGTGTTTGAGACTGCTTCTAATATAATGTGCCTGAACAAAAAATGCCTTGACTTTCTGCAGGGACTCTCCTTTCTAAACTCGGTGCTCCAATTTACTTCTCTTTTGAAAATCTTGCCATGATTTTATCTTTAGCCTAGGAGAGTTGAAAATTAGGGGTAGCACTGGTCACCTGCAATTTTTAAAAAAGGGCCCTAGGAGATTCTGATACATACCCTTCCCTAGCAATCATAGCTTGAAAGAAACAGAGTAGATTAGAGGTCCCTAAGAGGCTGGGGGGAGTGGGGAGGGGCCTCATTGCTTAATAGGTAGAATTTCTGTTTAGGAAGATGACAATGCTTTGGGAGCACATAATGCTGAAGCTCGCCTACCAATGTAAAGCTAACTGATGCCACTGAAATGGATGCTTAAAAATGGTTACAATGAAAAACTTTATGTTATACCGT